CATGGACTGTTCATAGCCATGCCCTCCGGTCGGAGGCTCAGAAGTGTGAAATGCAGGACCTCTAAACTGAAAAACTCTTTCTTTCCTTCTGCCATCAGACTCCTAAACAGCTGACTCAGGATCTACCTCATGTAATTCCATCTGTACTGTTTACCTACATGCATAACTGCACACTCACTGCTGAATATTTGCACAAACAGCTCCCATGTAGCATATATTCTCTCTTCATTGTATTGTGTTCTTGTTGTATTTTGAACATGAGGAAGGAGAGGAAAACTCATCATCACACTTGACCACTTACACTTAGATGACACGAAGGAAGCTACATGCCGACAAAGGCATTTAACTAAGTTTGCAATGATACAATTTAAGACAGGACAACAAAGACATTAAATAATTAACTTTTTTTCTGCTGGTGTAATTAAAATTCCATTATTTTGAAACACTTTGACCTGTCTCTGTGGCCCATCATCCAACTGTAATTCCGCAGAAATAAATCTCATACACAACAGGAAGGGAGTTGATTCGATAGAAACAGGAAGGAATAACCAAATGTTGCAGTTATTGCAGAAAAGCATGAATGACCTTGAATATCAGCATAGGATTATTCAAAATCAGAATCATCTTTATTGGCCAGGTGTGTTGGGCACACGAGGTATTTGACTCAGGTACATCGTCTCTCAATGTGCAAACGGTAGACCAGCATAAGGGTCTGTAATATAACAAAATAGCAGTATTAACATCAACAACCAGTGCAAACAATGCAGAAAAAGCAGTATAAATAGACAGTAAACAATGCAGACAACAAAGGAATGTTCATTGAAATGAGATAATTAGGGATAAAAATAGAGTACTTAAAACAGAGTACTAGAGACCTGTATAGGTCTGTATAATCTGTACAATGTATATTTACAGGTATTGTCCAGTCATACTGTCGTGGGTTAAGTGTTCATCAGAGCGCCAGCCTGGGGGAAGAAACTGTCCTTGTGTCTGGTTGTCTTAGTGCACAGTGACCTGTAGCTTCGTCCAGAAGGGAGTACTTCAAACAGATTGTATCCAGGGTGTGAGGGGTCTGCAGTGATCCTCTCCGCCCTCCTTTTGACCCATGAGGTGTACAGGTCCTCCATGGAGGGCAGGCTTACACCAATGACCTTTTCTGCAGTCCTGACTGTCCGCTGAAGTCTGTACTTGTCCTGTTTGGTTGCTGAGCCAAACCAGACAGTGATGCA